ACTGAGGAGTGAAACCGGGTAATATAGTGAGTGACCTAATCAAGTGCAGCTGGTGATAAGGGAGTGAGGAACAGGTGAACGTGATAAGAGTAATGGGGCAAGAGACAGTAGGAAAGGTGAGGGAGGCAGAGAGGCCGAGCAAACCTGACAATCCCATGATGGAATTGTGATTCGATTCAAAATTAGGGGCCTGCAATTGATATTAAACCATATTACGTGCCTATTTCACACAAATGCGTTTTTATTAAGCGAAATGCAACAAAATTATCATTTTAAAATGTTATTGAGCTCTTCTGTTCACTTTCATGTGCTATGTAAATACAAATAACGACCAATGATGACCCCACTTCAACTTAAAGAGCTCATGGCATGCTTTTCCTTGTTTTCTGCCTTATCTACAATGTTACAATGATGAATTATCATCTTAGACATGACCTAAAGCTCAAAAATGAGGTGTACATATGTTCTAGTACTTCTATGCAGAAGCAACTTGGTTTATGCAGGTCTCACAAACTCACTTGTAAAACTTTTTTTCTCACAAAATGAAGTGATATGTGATAATTTAAGGATTTCCTTGAATGGTCATAATCGCCAGGCGGTTGCACATTCATGCGAGCTTGGCTGACATGCACCACTGTCACTGTAAAAGTGGAATTTTTCCACTGAGAGCAGTTTTGTGGATATATTTTGCCTCCTGCTGCTGCACTGTGACCAGAGGATGTGGACAAAAATACAGAGCCTGAGGTTACTCCATGTCTGGGAATGTTCCTGTACAGGGACTCGCTGTTTTACTGGGTCTAACCTACAAACAGCCAGATTGTGAAGCCCCCTGCAGCAGTGAATGATCAGCTCATCAACGCTGGATTGCCCTGGAGGACAGTAGCTGTTTGTTCTGACTGCTTGAGGCCAGTGTGTCTGCAGCATGTGATATGTTGCTGGTAACAAACGGATTGATGACCCACAATGTTATTGTCAGTGCTAAGCTACCTGTTGGAGTTAATTTCACTACTTTGGGACTGTATGTGGCCGTGTGGGGGAAGACGCACTGGTTGGATTTACCAACCTTGGAGCTACTTGAAAGGGAGTGATGTTTCCACTACTCAGTGGGACTTAACGATAAGTTTTAAAAAACACAGGCTGCATGTCTATTAATGTGTTGTTTCTGTAATGTTAGAGAGATGTTGTAAGGCTGCAGAAGTTACTATGTCTGCATTATGCCAGTTAAAATATGGGGTTTCTCAATGACCTGCTTTGTTTAGAGTGTTACACATCTCTTTTCATTGGTACATATACTGTTGTTTACCTAGAAAGGAGAAATTCAAATTAATTAATACCGTTGCAGTTTGTTGTGTTGTCTGCTTTTGACACAAAGTCAACAGGAGTTGTGCGCGTTCACGAATTATCCTTGTTTTTAGGAAGAGGCTCTCATGTTTTATCATTTTGAAATAATTACAGACTATTTGGAGTTATGATGGGTGCCAAGCTGATCTAGAGGTACCCAAGATTAAACATTAAATGGCCGGAAATGAGCAAAATGAGCATGTCATGGGGACTTTAATGTTTGACTTTTGAGATAGGAAGCAATTCACATTGTCACCTACACAATACAATATACAAAAACACTGGAAAAACATATTTCCTGCCTTGCAGGAGTTTTGTTTAAAACTTGACATTCACACTTATAGCTGTGTGTGCCCTTTTTAATCCATAATCATTCCATACCCATGACTTGTTTCTGATGAAAGAGTTAACTTTATCTGTGTATTTTCTTAGGCTGCTACAGGTCAAGGCTAATTCATATAAAAATTGGCTTGCCCCTTTTATGCAACAGATCAAACTCTAATTTATCAAATGTGCCAATTCACATTCATGAGATGTGCATCACCCCTGGAAACCCAGCGTTTTTATGCTTCAAGTCTGTTTCTTCTCTCTCATGCATTCAATGAAGCATGATCTCGACACAGTTATTTAAGTCACACAAATCCTCTGTTATTTTTGTGTGGCAACTTCAAGGCTTTTTTATTTTGTCTCAGATTTAGAGAGGTATAATCTTGACAGCTCTTTAAAGCTCACAAAACCGCTGTTATTTTTGTTCTGCAACTTTTTACCACTAGCTTATGTGTAATGACTGCTCAGGCTCCTGGTTTCACTGTGAGCATTTTGGTTTCACTTTTCACCATCTTTTGTAGCAAGATGAGGAAGTCAATGAAATTAGTAAATCCATACTCATGTGGCTGGATTCTTTGTGATGAGCCTAAACTATTGGTGTCCTGTACATTTCTGTTGTCGGTCAACCTGGTGAAGAGTGGTTTTATTCGGATGCTGTCTTGCTGACTGATGGACAATTGTTCTGATGACAGAGAACACAGGTTGGAGTCAGTGTGGACTGAATGAATTAAACACTGTAGTAGCACCTAGGCACTTCTCACACCTCACTTTTAGTATGAATTTCCAGTCAGAGTACTGGCTGCATCATCTGGAGCTTGTTGTCCAGTTTGAAGAGAACAGCACTTCAACAGAAATGTGCACAGATGTGGCTGGCTGATTGTTAAAATAAATGTACGTTTAATATCGATGTTTACCTTTTGTATCAGTGACATCAGATAGCTAGTTATTTGATCGATGGATTTTTCCTAATCGATGGATCGTTACACCCCTATACTGCATCTGCTGCATATTGACCAAGACAACCAACAGAAAGGGAAAAAAACGACGTCCAGATCTTGATTAGTATTTGGTGAGAGGATGCCAGAAGGAATCAGTGGCAGGAAACCAAGAAGATTTCTCAGCATCTGGCAGAAATGCAGATGCCAAACTCAGCCAAACAGTGCCAGAGGGACCTGGCTGCAGACAAGACAGCAGACAACATGCACCCCCATCCTCTGTATTTGAAGTCAGTCTTCCTCATATCATTTTTGTGGGAACATGTGCATAGTCCACTTGTATGAAGAAGAAGTGATCATACTGTGGCAAAGAAGATGGGAAAACTTTACAGCAGTAAGTTGCAGAGTTTTTGTTAGGATTTCTAAAAATTTTACTCAGTGTTGTCTCTCAGACTTTAATATATCAAAGAACCCAATGAGCATACAGTATGTACACACAGTACAATTGAAAATATTAGGAGGCTCCAATTAACATTATTTTGTTGCAGGTCATGCCAGCACTTTCATAAAATATTTATGTAAAGAAATCATGAGTTTAAAATAGATATTGTACTGTTGAGTACAAGTTGTTTGAATCACAATACCTTAGCACGCTAATGGGCAGCAGAGGTTAGTTGCTCGGATGCTTAATCTAATGCCTAGAGCTTGCTCCATAGCACTCATTTGACATTAGCCTGATTATTAACATTACCACGAGGAACCATTCATAACTTAGGGTTTGGCTTAATCACTGATTCTTGTCATAGCAAAAGGTTGTCATAGGGTTAGTGTGGTCAAGCTTTCACTGTTCTGGAAAAATGGGCCCTATTTAGGAAAGCACAATGAATGATTGGATCATTTGCTGTTTTTCAGATTACCGTCAAAATCTTCATGGCCCAAAAACAAGGACGCTACAAAGTTGAAATCATCATGGCAAGATTTAACAAAAGTAAAATCTATTCTGATTCTGAACTATGTGTTTCTTGATTTGAACCCCAAATGAAAGATTTCTGTTTATTTTACCATACAGTCATGGCCAAAAATACCAGTACCCCTGCATTTCTGTCAAATAACGCACCACTTCTCACAGAAAATTGTTGCAATCACAAATTCTTCAGTATTCTCATGTTTATTTCTTTTGTTTGCACTGGAACAACACAAAAAAGCAGAGGAAAAATCCAAATCTGATCCATTCTACACAGAACTCCAAAACGGTCTGGACAGAATTATTGACACCCTCACTTTAATATTTGGTAGCACACCCTTTGGAGAAAATAACTGAAATCAGTTGCTTCCTGTAACCATCAGTGAGTTTCTTACACCTCTGTCCAACAAATGCTTTATGTAATTATGTAATTAGTCCCTTTTTTCTTTTTAATGGTGTATATCAAAGACGTCCCAGTTTGTGAAATACTGTTGCAACCAAAAATTATTTACATCAGTGTTTAATCAAATCAAATTTTATT